AAAAAAAAAAAAAAAAAACTCGACACAGGAATTAGATCTCGTCACTTGAAATTTGCGGCCAAAATTGTACAAAAAATTGCGGGTTAAATGTGGTAAAAATAAATATATAGAGGATATGGCAGGGCGGCCATATCTTCCTTGTCGTGGTGGAGGAGCTTGCGTGCCTCAATGACCCTGAGAGCTATACCGACGGGGGGTCTTCCTCCAGCATGTCTAACCTTGGCGGGCAGGTCAAAGGGTAGAGGCCAGGCGTAATGGTAGTCACTGGCCCTCCAGTTTGGGGGTTGGGCGTGCGGCTAATCACTGCATCCCATAAAGGTACTTGATTACGCAAACCGAAAAGACGATTGACGAACTGGAACCCTGTCAACGAGAGAATCATGAGCGCACGCTGCAGCTCACGCTATGCAAAACTCATTGTTATCCAAGTGTACGCGCCCACCAGTGACGCAGATGACGAATCTAGGGGAGAATTTTATGAACAACTGCAGCGGGAGGTTGAAACAACACCCAGACATGATGTACTAATTGTGATGGGGGACCTGAATGCCAAAATCGGAGAGGGCAATGAAGGATGGGAGAAGGTGATGGGACGATATGGACTTGGAGGAATGAACGAGAACGGAGAGAGGCTAGCGACGTTCTATGGCAACAACGACTTGGTGATTGGAGGCTCTCTATTCAAGCATAGAGACATTCATAAGATTACGTGGACCTCCCCGAATGCAAGAGATGGGAATCAAATCGACCATATCACTATCAATGGTAGACACAGAGGTTCGCTGATGGACACCCGAGCAATGAGAGGGGCTGATGCCAACTCGGACCATCACATGGTGATGGAAAAGGTTATCCTGAAACTATGCAGCACAAAGAGGAAGAGGAAGGAGAGGATCATCTTTGACATCAAGAAGCTTCGAGATTCCTGTGTCAAATAGGTATTTCGGCTGCAAGTGAGCAAGCGATGCCAGGTGTTGGGGACGAATGACGCAGCTGATATCGAAGAGATGTGGGGACGATTCAAGGAGGTCTACAACGAGAGTGCCAAGAAGGTGCTGGGAGAGAAGAAGAGAGTGAAGAAAGACTGGATCAGGGGGAAGACCTACAGGAAGATTGAAAAGAGACGAGGGTTAAAGGAGAAGATGGGATGTACACGGTCTGCCCGCATGAAGGAAAGAACTGCTGTTGCATATGCTGTGAAGGACAAGGAAGTGAAAGCCAGCGCTCGGGCAGACAAGCGGAGATGGTTGAACGACTTAGAAGAAGACGCTGAGACAGCAGCCAGAAACAACTGCAGTGGTGACCTGTACCAGATCTCTAGAAAGATAGCTGGACAAGGAAGGAAAATGACTACCATCAAAGATAAAGAGGGCAGGCATCTTGTAAATGAAGACGAAGTCTTTCAAAGGTGGAGGGAGCACTTTAAGGAAGTTTTGAATGTACAACGACCTGACATACCCCTACCAGTAATAGATCAAGCACCTGAGGTTATCACAAGCATCGACACTGGTGACATCTCAATTGCTGAAGTTAGGAAAGCGATCCACCGTCTGAAGAATGGCAAGAGTTCAGGGATAGATGGCATCAGTGCCGAGTTGCTCAAGTGCTCCGAGAAGGATGCTGTGAAACAACTCCACTTACTTTAACACAATCTGGAAAGACCAATGTGTACCACAGGACTGGAAGAAGTCGCTCATAGTGAAAGTGCCGAGGAAGGGTGACCTCACTCAGTGTGATAACTATCGCGGTATATCCCTACTCTCCGTACCAAGCAAAATCCTATGCAGGGTCCTTATTGACAGAGTGAAGAGTGGCGTGGACGAGATGATTAGGCAGGAGCAGGCAGGATTTCGATCTTGAAGGGGAACCTCTGAGCAAATCTTTGCTCTTCGGAATATCCTTGAGCAGTGCCAGGAATGGCAACCACCAGTGTACATTAACTTCGTTGACTTTTCGAAGGCTTTCGATTGCATTATCCGAGAGAGACTTTGGGACATTATGGGGCAGTATGGCATCCCTGACATCTTTATCAGGACTATTAAGGAACTACATCATCCGAGCTCAAGCTGCGTCACAGAAGGCGGAAGGTATTCTAGCTGGTTCGAAGTGAAGAGTGGCGTGCGGCGAGGGTGTGTGTTGTCTGGCTTCAACTTGGTGTTGATCATGGACTGGGTCATGCGGCACACAAATGATAAGAGACGCGGCTTGAGATGGAAATTCATATCAGTTCTAGAAGACCTGGACTATGCTGACGATGTTGCTCTGATCTCAAGCAGATTTGCTGATCTCCAGGAGAAGACCGATAGGCTAGCAGCCACTGGCAGCATTGTTGGGCTTAAGATCAACCCGCGCAAAACAAAGACGCTTAGGATGAACCACAGATGTACGGACTACACCAGGATAGAAGGAGAGGAGATGGAAGATGTAAAATCCTCCGTGTACTTAGGTTCAGTACTTGACAAACTTGGCGGCGCAGAAGCAGACATCTAGAGACAACTAGCACTAGCGAGAACTGCATTCACCAGACTCCAGAACATCTGGAGGTCAGGCAGATTCAGCCAGAAGACCAAGTTGCGCATCCTGAGCTCGAACATGCTGTCCGTGCTGTTGTATGGAGCCGAAATGTGAAGGGTGACAGCAACTGATCTCATCAAACTGGATGTGTTTCACTGCACATGCTTGAGGAAGGTGTTGAGGAGATTCTGGCCCAACTATCTGAGCAACGAAGAGCTGTACGAAGCCATAGGTAGTACGCCGAGGTCAGGCCTTATACGGGTGAGAAGATGCCGATGGTTAAGACATGTATTGAGGAAAAGTCCTGACAACATTTTGAGGACTGTATTGCGTGGGCACCTGAAGGTAAGAGGAGGCGAGGTCGACCGAGAAAGACGCGGAAAAGAACCGTGGAGATGGAAAAGAACAAGCTCGGATGGCATACATGGGGAGCTGCTGTTGCATCGGCCTCAGACCGGGGTGGATGGCGTGATCTTCTGGCCGGCTTCAAGAGTCCTCATAGGCGCGATGAGGATGAGTGAGTGTGAGTGATGGCAGTGCGAGTGATAAAAAAATATATATATTTTCGACTTGTAAAATATTGTTTTTAACCCGAGAAAATAAAATCTATATTCTTCAGGCCACCATGTAATTTTCTTTTTGAACACGATTTACCTCATGTTATTTCTCCAAAATGTCAGCGCGTCGGCTAATATTGCATTTACGCTGCTCTGTATCATACAGCCCGCAGAAAATAGCTTTCGTCACTGTCACTGAAAATAGTTCGCTGTCTTTTAAACTCTTTTTGTTCAAACTCTTAGCTTTTCAGAACCGAGCAGTTGTGAAAACATTCACTTGTCCTTCTTGGCACTAGTAAAAATAGATTAAGTTCCTGTACTTGTGTTGGGCTGAACTGTCGATGTTGCCGTAATTTCATCCATTCTTATTTTCGGTGAAGACGGAATCATTACACAACCAGAAGGTTCCTGTCCCTTGTATCCGGATAAATCGGCCGAGATGTGCTGTTGAAAAAGAGCCGAATAGTTATTTAGCGAATTAATTTATATTTTTGTGTCCAGTTATCAGCACAATTTCAGTAGGTGAAATATTATACAATCACAAAGATTCTGGAAGAGATGCTTTCTTGCGTTATGGTTAACCAATTTCTGGTCCGACTGAGGTTGGGAGGCCGCTATCATGTTTTTCATCATCGATCGAAGTGAATTCCCAGCGAGAAAGTTTTCAACTTTTTCTCTCTGCCATTGAGCTTCTGTGTTGATTAGCGATATATACAAGAAGTAGAATGGTCATTCATCACCTGATGGTCTCTACGGGGTTTGTCTTAGCTTAGTTTAGCTTAGCCTACCTTCAGTTACTAAATTTTCAGGTTATTTCTTAGTCTCCATGTATGAGTGGACCGTGCCAGAACGGTGGAACTTGCGTTTCAATTTATGAGAAAAACAGCTTTGTGTGCCTTTGTGCAAAAGGATACACAGGAAGTATTTGCCAAACAGGTAAGACGACGATAAAACTTAAAAGATGATAGAGTTACTTGATATGACATGTTATAATATGCTCTTCATAAAGAAGAAGTCGCCCAGCCGAATCTAAATAAAGTTACTTTTTCTTACCTTACCTCACTGCTATAAAAAACATTGGTTTGTTTCATTACCTCACACTGCGTACGTTGTATATACTAAGACAGATATATATTTTTTAATTTTATGTCATAGCGACATCGAAATATTGTGTTAAACGTTTCTCGGTAACTCAGTTTTATTGTATTTTTAAAAAAAAATATTTCAAATTTTATTTTTAAATTTGAAGTTTAAACTTATACCCTAGTCTTAAAAGTATACGAAAGTGGAAAATCCCTCTATAAATGACAAGGCCAAGACCAATAGCATTTATGTATGCCTTGAGGCAACACGATCGCATTGTTCGAGAGCTCGTGTAAAGATTGGGGTCTGGTCTGCTCTCTCTCTCTTTCTTCCCCGTGCATTTTACGCCGAGAAATCAAGAAATCGTCTCTCCATGGAACAGTATTTCAAGGAGCAGTTCCCTTGCAATCTTCTGACTGAATTATGATATTGATGGACATCTGATAAAGATGTTTCCTATTTCTGTATATATATATATATATATATATATATATATATAAAATATATACCTACTTTCTCGCGCGTTGTGATCCGTTTGATCCATAATGTAGTGAATAAGAATGGCTGTCCTGTCTGTCTTGTCTTAAACAGATATCGATGACTGTGCAAGGCATCCCTGTAAGAACAACGGGACCTGCACAGACCGAGTGAACGGATTCAACTGCAGCTGCGCATCAGGCTTTAATGGAACACAGTGTGAAACAGGTATAACCGTAACCGAAAACATCACCAGCCTTAATATTTCGTGGAAATAATTTACTGGAAAAGGGCAAGCAACGCGAGCAATTCGTTTTTGACTATTATGGTCTCGTAGAAACCAGTTGCTGGGAAACATTAATCTGTTCTTCTTTCCAGCATGTATTTCCTTGTGAAAGTTTGCCTGTGAGCGGACACATGACCCAGATTTACTCATGCTAAACACACTTGGGGGTGTAGTTCCAGGGTCATAACTTCATAACATAACTTCACCTCCAGTATGGGAGAGAGGGGAGGGGGGTTGGGGGGGAGGAGAAGGAGGACAGAGAGGCTATTGACCGGATTAACGTGGCTCCAGGACCTAATTTACACCTTCCGTGGGGGAGAAGAAATGAAGTGAGAAGTTTTTTGAAGGTTAAGACAGAATTTACTCTGACAAGTAAACGAATTCCACTGCTACTGCGTACAGCGCTGCAACGCAACGTGAAACTAGATAACACCAGGTTAAATGTTGTGTAAGTAATAGGGTTGAAATGTCGACAATCGATCGACATAGAGCAGAATTGCATGGTTAATTACATTGAAAATTTCCTGTTAGCTAGCCACACGATTACTCTAACAAAACGTATCTGTTAAAGGCGTTTCTATATTCCTTGCAAACGTTTTAGAATTTGTAGTGTATTCAGGTGCCATTTCTAGTGGTTTCGTTTGTTACAAGGTTCTATTGAAGTTTGTTTGATTTCCTTTTTGTTATTTTCACTTTATAAGTAGCTTATTTCAACCACAAGTTTTTCCACCACAATTCCTTTTTATGCTCGTAATGGGACACTAGACCCTCTATTGAGATACTAACACTTACATCCCTTTGTTTTTAGACATCGACGAGTGCGCTGCACAGGTCGACCCATGTGATGCTGTTGCCAACTCTGAGTGCAAGGATACGGATGGATCGTACAATTGCCAGTGCAAAGATGGATTTGTAAGGAACGGTCGTAATTGTGAAGGTGCAACATAGTTTTTATGAATAGTAGTTTTTCTTCCTTTTCTCAGTTGGTGAGCGGAAGGAATCCAATAAAATTCCGCAATCCCATTGGTTCCGGCAGAGGAGGGAATTTTCCCACCCAGCTGCGGGCGGAATCGTCGTGTTGATCTATTTTCGTAAACAAATTAGCCCTAATCGTCAATCTTTTGCCTTTTTTACACTTCCATCGACGATTCATCAACGCAAGTTTATCTCTGTTCACTTTTAACTGATAAGTAAAGTCATTGTAAGTAAATTCAATTGAGTGTTTTGAAGTTGTACAAGCAAAATATTATCGGCAATTTAAAAAAAAAAGACGAACGAACCACAACAACTAAAAAACAGAGGGAAATGTTTGTCGCCCCGTAAATCATAGATCGTAGATACCATCCAGTTTTTCTGCTTTTTATTGCCATTTTTATGTGTTAAGTAGTTTAGTTCCACCACAAGTCCTTTTTCTGCTCGTATTGGCACACTCGACCTTTTATTGAGATACTAATACTTACATCCCTTTGTTTTTAGACATCAACGAGTGCGCTGCACAGGTCAACCCTTGTGTTGCTGTTGCTAACTCTGTGTGCAGGAATAAGGTTGGATCGTACAACTGCCAGTGCAAAAGTGGATTTGTAAGGAAAGGTCCTAATTGTAAAGGTGCAGCATAGTTTTTATGATTAGCAGTTTTTCTTTCTTTTCTSAGTTGTTGAGCAGACGGAATTCGACAAGTCCTGCAATCTGATTGATTCCGCAGCRGGCGGAATTTTCCCAYCCAGCTGYTCACGGCGGGCGGAATCGTCGTGTTGATCTATTTTCGTAAACAAATTAGCCCTAATCGTCAATCTTTTGCCTTTTTTACACTTCCATCGACGATTCATCAACGCAAGTTTATCTCTGTTCACTTTTAACTGATAAGTAAAGTCATTGTAAGTAAATTCAATTGAGTGTTTTGAAGTTGTGCAAGTTTGGCTAGTTCTGTGTAGTTTGGCGGCGCTATAAGGGCGCCTACTCCAGTGTTTCTCTCGCCGTACAATTTTAAGTAAAAAATGAGTCAATTCCAGTTGAGTTAACTTCTCTGATCGTTGCGGTATTTAAGAGAATTTCTGTGGAATACACTTAACGAATTTTCTCGCTTTCTGAAATTCAGTTTACGGTAGAAAAGTCTGATTTCAAGTGATTCGCAACGACTGACAGAAATTGTTTTTGTAGTACAACTTCAAACTTTGCACGAAATTTCACACCGGAAAAAAAAAATTGGACAACGTAACTGGTGAACTAAATGCAACTAACATAAAGTTGTTCGAAATAAATCTGTTCTTTTAGTAATACCTCTTTCATGTCTAGTATCTGAATTACTCGCTCGTTACGAAGATTTGTTGCGCGAACTCGTTAGTAGACAGCACGTAAGTATCGAAGAAAGGTCTTTTTTTTTTGCTTTCTTCCTCTTGCTTCTCGTACCTGTTCACAGGCTTGACAAGACGTTTTACATTTTCCTTCGACCAGTTCAGCAAAATATTATGGGCAATTTAAAAAAAAAAGACAAACGAACCACAACAACTAAAAAACAGAGGGACATGTTTGTCGTCCCGTAAATCATAGACCGTAGATACCATCCAGTTTTTCTGCTTTTTATTGCCATTTTTATGTGTCAAGTAGTTTAGTTCCACCACAAGTCCTTTTTCTGCTCGTATTGGCACACTCGACCTTTTATTGAGATACTAATACTTACATCCCTTTGTTTTTAGACATCGACGAGTGCGCTGCGCAGGTCAACCCTTGTGTTGCTGTTGCTAACTCTGTGTGTAAGAATAAGGTTGGATCGTACAACTGCCAGTGCAAAGATGGATTTGTAAGGAAAGGTCCCAATTGTAAAGGTGCAACACAGGTTTTATGATCAGTAGTTTTTCTTCTTTTTCTCACTTGGTGAGCGGGGGGAATTCAACAAACTCCTGCAATCTGATTGGTTCCGGCAGAGGGCGGAATTTCCCAATCCGGTTGCTCACAGCGGGCGGAATAGTCGTGTTGATCTATTTTCGTAAACAAATTAGCCCTAATCGTCAATCCTTTGCCTTTTTTACACTTCCATCGACGATTCATCAACGCAAGTATATCTCTATTCACTTTTAAATGATAAGTAGAGTCATTATGAGTAAATTCAATGGAGTGTTTTGAAGGTGTGCGAGTTTGGTTAGTTCTTTGTAGTTTGGCGGCGCTATAAGGGCGCCTACTCCAGTGTTTCTCTCGCCGTACAATTTTAAGTAAAAAATGAGTCAATTCCAGTTGAGTTAACTTCTCTGATCGTTGCGGTATTTAAGAGAATTTCTGTGGAATACACTTAACGAATTTTCTCGCTTTCTGAAATTCAGTTTACGGTAGAAAAGTCTGATTTCAAGTGATTCGCAACGACTGACAGAAATTGTTTTTGTAGTACAACTTCAAACTTTGCATGCACTAAATTTAACACCGGAAAAAAAATGCGAGAGTTTAACTGTTGAACTAAATGCAACTAACATAAAGTAGTTCGAAATAAATCTGTTCTTTTAGTAATACCACTTTTTTGTCTACTATCTGAATTACTTGCTCGTTTCGAAGATTTGTTACGCAAACTCGTTAGTAGACAGCGGGTAAGCCGATTGAATGACAAAATTGGGTAAACAAACCGTGATTTGAAATTAAAATCAATTTAATTACCGCAGGAAAAATCAAGACCTCGGGCACAGTTTTAAGTTCCCAATACGGAACTCCTGAGCGGGAAATTTGCATTTGAAATTTTGTCGTAAACACTCTCTAGCTGCGATAGATATAATAAAACGGCCGTAAGCTGTAGTGAGCTATACTTTCTTCGCTGTTGTGCTCTGAAACGAACTGGAAGATTCGAGTCGAAAAACAAGGTTATGTGTTTATTTTAAAAAGTGATGTTGTGATGTTTCTTTCCTGACATCAATCTATGTAAAAACAATTATTTTGAGACGGAAAAAGTTGGAATTTTTGAAAAAATTAACCTCATAAACATTTTGCTCATTGGATTCGTTAAACTCGAGGCAAAGTAATGGTTTCTCAAACTGAAATAATTTTCAGACCCATTTTCTGTTTGGTTCACGCTCGACTGACACTACTCCAGTATATTTTCCATGTCAGTTTC